CACTGGCTGGGGAATTCTGGAAGTTGAAGTCCACATATCTTAAAGTTCCCAAGGTTGAGAAACACTGATATAGCTGATCTCTCTTCTATTTCCTTCCGAGCTCCCCACAATCTCTTACACTCCATTGTCTACCAGACTACATAGCCTGTCAGTTGCTTTCCCCACCTTCTCAAATTAAAAATAATGTACAAAAAGTAGTTTTAACATGCTGAACACCTTGTTGGAATAGTTGCACATTTAGGAAATGCTATTCTAGTTCCTTTGAATATGCTTTTTCTTTCAAAAGTATGGAAGCAATTACTTTATAGCTAACATTTATAGAATGGATGCATCTTACAAAGAAATTAAATCTGTGCCTTTTCAGTAGAGAGATGTACAATGTATTTATACAAAGATTTAAAAACTTCTCTTTATAATTCTTTCCTTTATCCTTCTTTCTCAGTTCACTAAAATACCCAGAAAACAGAATTATGAGAAATGTATCATGCCTCAAAGGAACTGATTGTAAAACTACTTTATCTTACTCCATTAAGTAATTTCACAAGGGCTTTATGAGTTGTTTCTCAGTTACAAGAATGGCTGCATATCCTAACATTATGCAACATAATGACCGCACTTTTTAAAAATGTAACTGCACAATTACAAATTGCTGTGATCCTACATCATACTAATCTATTGTTTGCTTAAACAATGGTTTGTTGAACAAGCCAAAAAAACCTGGTGAGACATGCAGACAAGCAATCATGGGTTCTATGGCCAAGTCTTTATTTGCTTTGTTTCTTTTTTGCAGCTGCTATTTCCTTATACTTCTGTGGATTGGTTAGACATTCAGGTAGGGTACACAAACAAAGTAAGAAACCACAAACAAAACCTGAGCTCCCATTTACACATCATACTGAAAACTTCTTTAGGATACAACAGGCAGGGCTGGCTTTAAGCTAAGGCTGAGTAGGTACTTGTCTAGGGTGCCAAAGCTTAGGGGGTGCCAATGCCACTCCTCCTTCTGAATCATTCCAAAAATGCAAATCTTTGCACTGGTGGATGGTGGCACCATCGGCCAATGTAGCCTAGGAGAGCACTATGTCCTAACCCTTGAGCCGGCACTAACGACAGTTCGCAGGTAACCATAGTTAATGGCCAGAGTGAAGAAGGCTGCCGTCCAAAATACCTGAAGGGCACCAAATTAGATATTCTTGGTTTGGGCTTTCAAAGCTATAACTGACAACTTAAACTATCTCCAGAGTAAACTCTCAGCCTGTGAATATGGTAAAGAATTGTGGGAAGGCACTCTAAAACTGGTTATACTGGTGGCTTTGCAGAAACATTTAAAATCAACTTGAGTTCCTCTTCCAGTACAATCCTACAAAACAAATTATAATATTCAGCCATTTATGTTCGTTGCCTGGTCTGCCTTCTTTGATATGTTAGCCAAAGCTGAATAAAAGCATTTCTGTATACCAGTTGCTATTTTGGAATCTAACAGGAAGACCAGCTTCTCAGGGACTTCAAAGACTGATCCTGATTTTTCAAATGGATTGCAGCTTATTTAAAAACAGAATCTATTCCTAGGTCAACCAATTTACTGACAAAGAATACTTTTGTCTTGTCTGGAAAAAAACATGATTTTTTATGTTCACCTCACTAATGATGCAAGGCACCAGTTCAGAACTCACAGCTTCATTAGCTGAGAGAGAACAGAACTGCATAGCATCAGTATTTTGATAACTGCAAATTTCAGTGCTTCACAAGATCTCTTCTTCAGTTGTTACATATATAATTTAAATATTGCTTTGTAATATTCTCTCTGTTTTTTAATCATAGTTCATCAAATGTTCTGTAGCACTTTCTATTGGAATCTATACTCCATCAAGAATCAGAGAGTACTCCTTCATTTCAATCCAGAAGCATTTTTGGAATGGTACTATATAGACAAATGATACTGAATAACCTTTAAAAAAACAAAAGAAAATTAACAGAACAGCATAACTGATATGATGTCTGCTGAGATAAGTGCATGCATTATTTTTTTTAAAAAGGCTTTTTTATTCAGTGCTGCTGATTTATTTGCATGTAAATGTATGCAAATTTAAAACTCATTGCTCAATTAAAATGTCTTTAATCAGGTCATAGACCTATTTAAGACTAGCAAATCTGCAGTGTATATTTACCCCCAGATATTCAAGACAGATGGTCTCATTTCTGCCTTTAAACAGTGTTAACATTTAAAAATCAAACTTTTATATGGGTTATAAGAACTGAAAAATGCTCACTAGCCAATAAAAAAATCATGAAAAATATAGTAAAAATTATTTCCATGGCTCTAATTAGAATCAATAACTTCTCAAATCAAATTTCTCATTCACTAGTAATCCATAATTTTAATGTAAAGAGTAGAAAGAGATTTACCATTCTGAAATTTGTAAAGCAAGTTTTAGCAGGCTATCATACACTGCTGATATGCCTCTATATTTGACAAAAATGGTAATTTACCAAATGGCACAGAAATAATGGCAAGCTAAGATATTATGCTATTTTCAGACATTCATAAAACACTAGTGTTTTTTTTTCCAAAAAGCTGAGCATATACAAATAAATCTGACTTATTTTATTTTATTATTTTTTATCAAATTTATATAGCCACCCAGCTGACTGATGTGACTCTGGGTGACAGATAATAAAATAAACAATTAAAACAAATCTTAAACAACCATTAAAACAATTAACATACAATATAAATAAGATTATGGGTTGTTACATGTACTTTCCTACCCATATTAAAAAGCTTTTGCATGTGTTGCAACAATGGCCAATTGTATTAGGCATACCTGAATATATAATGCACATGGTTATAACTGTAAAACTTGGGGGGTAGAATTTTATCTTCTCATTCTAGTTATGTTGAAATCATATAAGAAGTGTAGAAAACCTGAGCACTGCAGTTATTTCCCTATCTTTTAATTGCCAACAGCAGAGCAGTGGATATTGCATCTCTATTCTCAAATTGATCAGCTAGCAGATTATGGAAGCAATCATCAAGACAGAACAATAACAGTTATTACTGCTGGTTCCCAAGGCAAGCCAGCACTAGCACGTGAAGTAATCATCTGACCAGTAACACATAAATACTTCCTGATACATTAGCAGAACTGCATAGCAGCACCAATAGCTCAACAACTGTTATGCTTCTCTTGGTAAAACATTAATCAGGCCTCATCTGATTGATATCTTTATCAAACGTCTCTTAAAAAATACTGAAGATTTAAAACAAAAGTTAGCCAGCTTAATACAGGTTTAAATGCCTTAATATATATGGTTAGAGGATTGCATGTACAATTATAGCTCATTTGTTCCTTTGCCAAGCAGCAACCTGTTTGTCTTTTTAAGCTACAAAGATATGGCTATAAGCATTTTATTCCATATGTATAATTATTACTTTTTGAATGTGAATAATGTCTTTTGAGAAATATTGTATAATTGTTGTTTCAGAAATTTGACTTGTACACAATAAATTTAAATACTGCATGAAAGATTTTCTATGATCAGTTTAAAAAGTATTGCAACTTTGTCCAATGCAAGATTAGACCAATTTGTTCTGTTTCAAACATTATTGAGAAATATATTAAAAATATTAGTGAAACAGGCTAATTAAAGAAACACTTACTGTAATGACAGCTTTACTCAGACAGATTGAGCCCCTGCAGCCATATTCTGTTTCATCTTCAGATTTGTAGTAACTTAGAGTGTTGTTTTTCAATACCACCCAGCGGTCCTGCCACCCATGGATGTAGTTGGTCCACTAAAAAGAATAAATACATACATTTGAATAAAGCAAAATAATGAGCATGCTATTCCATGGCACCATACGCACCTAACATGGCACCATACGCACCTAACATGGCACCATACGCACCTAACAGAATTTTATTATATGCTTTACTAAAGTTTATTTTAATAAAATCAGACCTATTTACTGTAAAGTAATGTATCTGCCAATATTCAATACATTAAAAATAACAACTAGAATTAATTGTAAAATATTGACGCTTTAGAGAAAACTGAAAACCTTGTAAGAACTCTAAATAAACCAGATTCTAAAAGGCTTATTCCCAAAAGATAACTAAAATTCATCAACCCTACTAAAAAGCTTCACAGCAATAGGAACCCAGATCTGCTGAATTTGACAATGAATTCCTGATAATTATACATTAGTGATATTATTACCTCATATACTTTCCACAAACTGGTTGGGGATCATGCAAATTCTATTCTAACACTTCTCTAGAGTTATCAGATTACAGAAGGATATCGTAGTCTATTCCTCTGTGCTTTTTAAATTTCATATTTTCTAAATATTAGAACAAAGTCGTATACTATTAGTACAAGTACTCCTAGCACAACTACTGTTACCACCAATTGAAATATTAAAATTAAATTGTACATTACTCTAAAAGAAATTTAAAGTAGCCAGTTTCCAGGGAGTGACTCATACGAGTTTTACAACTGAGTTCAGCAAACAAGTTTCTAATAAATTTACCCTCTAAGTAAAGAATGGGTAGTTAGCTAAATTGAGAGCCTGTGAAAAAGAGAAATAAAAAGAAAAGCCCTTCTAGTAGTGGTGACTTAAGAAACAAACATGACAGTGAATATACATTATCTCAGCAGTTGTGACTTGCAATGCTTGTGACATGTTTGTACTCTTGCCTAAAAAATAATATGTAGGAAGTGCAAGCTTATAGCAGTGCTTGAAAAAAAAAGAGTTAGAAACAAGAAGTGGCTTCAGTTCATAAATGGCAGACATCATGCCAGGTTTGGCAATACATTTCTACTCTTCAGATACTTAATCCCATATGGGACTTGCTCACAGATACAACATAGCTAAATAAGTCACTTTACTGCAGACAAGATAGCATTCAGTCCTAAAGATATGTCTGCTCCAGGATTTAAATCCTCTTGCTTTTCAATTGGAAACTGAAATTTCCAATGGAACTTTGGACATTCTCTTTCCAGCCTTGAGATTAGGGTACATCTGTTCAACATTTACGTACTGTAATGATTCTATCCTGTCTGAGAATCATTAGTTCCTGCCTTGTCAACTTTAGCCCTTACCATAAGAGAGGAGAAAAACACATTAGATCAAACAAAAGAAATGTAACTACAGAAGCTGTTTTCAAGAAGGAAGATTAAACAAAGTCTAGTGGATGAGAATGGCAATCAGAAATACAGAAAGTATTCTGCACTGGTAGAACTCAGAAATACTATAACTCTTGGGCTTTCCTAGAAAAAAACAGTCTCTGATCCTTCTAGAGAAAAAAAAAAGTAGGTAATGCTGAATAGGAGACAGGAAGGTGAATCCCTTAAAACCAGAGAGGATACAGTTGTGTCCTACAAGAAGGGAAAGATAAGAGCTGGGGGGAAAAAGTACCAGTCAGGCTCATTAGCTCATGAAGTGTGCTGTCTGCCTGGATCACAGAATAGGGATGTGACACAACACATTTCAAGACTAATCAATTCCACTGACAATTATTCCTTCCTCCTAATCAATGTGTGAATAAATTACATTGCAAAATAACTGATACAACCATATCCCCATAAACTGTGAAGACCGGAGAATCTGGAGGCTCATCCCTTCCATTTCATGCAAAGTGAACAACTGGTTGTGCAAAAGGTGTTGGCAGGATATTCTGTTTCCAAGATTTAGGATCTCATATACTGTCCTACCCCTCTTAGGCTGGAGTCAATTGATGAACAATTACAAGGAAGTAAATTTATCAGGCAAAGGAGCTGTACTAAATCCAGGGAAATTCCATTTCATGAAGTCCACACTTAACAGCTTAAATGGAAATTAACTATCTGTCCATCCAGGTAATGGGGAGACATAATAGAAGCCTAGAAAAAGCAAGCACCAAGGTGCCAATTAGGGCACAAGGTTTCTATAAGAGGAGGGGGCAGTATCCACTTGGTCTTTCTGGTGTGTGTGTGTTTTCCTTCAAGGGAGGCAGAAAGCAAGGTAAGGGCTAATTCCCAGCCAGCAGCAACAGGGCTAGATCTAATGAATTTGGACTGCATACTAGGGTCAGCAAAGCTAGTTGTGGTATAGATTCTGTTTTATTTTATGGACGAGATCTAAGCCGTGTGCACATGTTCTGATGTCTATGAGATTGTTGGGGCTGAGGGAACAGCAGGGTCCTAAGCTCATAGCAACTGAGATCAACTCTTCATTCGTATTTTCTTTTTTTCCCCCTCTTTGTTTAGGTCTTTGATCTTATTATATATAATACACACAGTATTTAAAATTCTTAATAGACCAGTAGTACTCATTCCAAGTAAGGGTTGTAGCTTTTAGGACATGCCTTTTACCATGCCAGGCTGTAAAAAGGAGGTGGTTGCCATTTGCCTCCTGCCCAGTAAATCAGCAGCAGAGAGGGTGTCCCTGAAGTAAAGTTGCTGGTGGGAACATGCCTAAATCCTCCTTAGAAGCTGCACCTAGGATGGAGCAGAATTGTGAGAGGGCAGTTTGAAAATCTCATAGGAATCAACAGAGATCCAAGCTACTATATCCCATGTGTGTGCACATACCCGTTATAAGAGTAATTTTAAAAGTATCCAAGTATAAAGGAAATAGAGTTTCTACCTGTACCTAAAGTTCATGGGGAAAGGCAGTGTTTGTAGTCCAAATCAAGCTTCACAGTTTAAGAGAGTACCACATATACAAACTTAAGCTGTTATGGAGACTAATTCCAATGCCAAATTGCACTCAGGTGGGAATTTAATTGGAAACTGCCAGCCTCCACTTCAGCACAGCTGATACTGAACAACCCTGATTTCCAGCATGAGGCTACCCCTGAATAGCCCTCCTTGTGCCCAATGCTTCTCTGTAAACTGAGAACTCCTCTAACTCCCTGTTTTCTAACTTTTCACATAGAACTAGCAGTGTTTTCATAGGCTGGGTAGATGAGCCTCCAGTTTAAGGACTGAATTACACAGACCAGAAGGACTGGTTCCTAACACCATCTCTCCACTGTTGCAACATGTAGGGCCTCTGTTTCTGATTGCCTGATTATCTTGTTTTGGTTTGATCCTCATCTAGGGTTAACACTTCAGAAAGAAGCAGGACAGTTATCTGGATGATGGCCTGCTGGAATGAAGGGAGTTATACTGCATATAAATGGATCAAAATGCTACTGAAACATAGTGAGGTTGATAAGAGGGCTTTAAAATAGGGGCTGGAGGTGAAAATTTTGGAAGTAAAAATTTTACACAGAAGAAACCCAATAAATGTTTTTTTAAAAATCATCCCAAAGGATACAACATGGAATAACAAATTTAGATTATAGGAAGAGATTCTGATTGAGTATTAAAAGAAATGTCCAAGCACTATGCGGAGCAACAGTGGAATCATTTACGATGGGAGGGAGAGGAGGTACTCTTCATGGATATATTCAAGCAGTGGCTAGACCAGTGTTTCTCAACCTCAGCCACTTTCAGATGTGTGAACTTCAACTTCAGCATGCTGGCTGGGGAATTCTGGGAGTTGAAGTTCACATATCTTAAAATGGCCAAGTTTGAGAAATACTGGGCTAGACTGTTGTGCTGGATCCATCTGTTGTGGATACTTTAATTGGATTCTTGCTCAGAACAGGGGATGGGATCCAACGACCTAAACAGCCTCTTTTAACTTTGTGATTCTACAAATACTATATATTAACACTCACACATTATAAAAAGTATTTTTATGCTTCACTTGGGCACAGAATGCAATCAGTCCAAATTAAATTATATGTTCCCTTTTACATAAACATGAACAGCATTCTGCAAGCTAAAAAATTATGGAATGCATAGCATATTCATATATAGACATGGGATATATTTGGCATTAAAAATATTTCAGTTATACTATGAATACTGTATTCACTTTTCGTAAATAACTTCATATAGTCTTAGATATAGCTCCATAACATCAGCTGAAATACTCTGTTGTAACATGCCAGCCCTCAACAGCACACACCTTCACCAATTGAAACCATAATTTCTGATTGTTTCTGCCTTCTCCATTATTAAAGCCTCCAGCAAGTAGACAGAATGGCCAAGATTTTGCCCTCTTAGCCACAATTTACAATTGTACAATCTAGTACTTTTTCTTTTTTTTGCAGTGATTTCCATGCCCTGACTTGGCAGATTCTAGATGGTTTATGTTATTAATGCATTAAAACACCATATATAAAAAATGAAAATAAAATATATCAGTTGCTGTCCCCTAGTTAAAGTCTTTCTCTCCAGATATTCTAGGGAAGAGGACTGTTTTCACCAACTTCCTGAAGGATAAAAGGGTGGGGGCTAACCTGACCTCAGGGGGCAAACTATTCCACAATCAAGTGGCTGTAATAAGAAAGTAAATTTCCAGATCCCACCCCCCTTGTTATGGACTCCTCTGATTATAAAGTTGAAGAGAATGACCAAGCTAATAAAAGTTGTTGGAAACGGGCTAAATGACTCCCGCTTTTGCTGCTCAGCCTGGTGCAGGTCACCCTTTGATGTTTCAAGGAGTCCATTCTTGCAGCATTGTCTCCTGACTAGATTGTGTATGATGGGCAAATTCTGCCTGGAGAAGACAGGTTCAGGGGTACACACTCTTTTTTAATATCAGTGCTTTGTTCTTGGCCACCTAACACTTTATGGTAGTAAATTAAATTAAATACATACTCCATAAAAATAATTTAAATGCTACAATATAGGTATCCTTCTCAATTCTTAATTTTTAATTACAAAAAGAGGGGGGAAAAGACATAAAAAGTGCTTTAACAAAAAGTGAAAGAAATGCAACAAAGCGAAAAAAACTCTTTATTAATTCTTGATCATTTACAGTGACTAATGTCAAGCTACAGTTAGGTGAACCACAGTTCTTAACCAATCCAATTACCTAGGTTTGCACAAACACTGAACTATAAACCAGTCACATTGGCTGGGTTTATATAATACTTAACCACAAATTAGTCAACCACATTTTTACCTTGTGGAAACCATCCAGAATACTATGTTCAGTGGGCTTACCCCAGGAAATTGGATTGTAGATTGAAAATGCTATAAGATAAGCATTGTGAGATTTCATGCATGCATGCATGCATGCATGCATGCATGC